GGCGGCGAAAGGGAGGGGGGGTCAAGGGAGGGGAGGGCGATTCCGGGAAGGAGTAAAACTTGAGCGGAACTGGATAGAGATCGGGATCGGCGGTGGGGCTTTGGGGTGGAAAGTTACGACCCGCCCGAATCTGGAATTTGAAAGACTCCCGGGCCCCCGGGCGACTTGTTAACTGTCCGCCAAACAGAACCCGCGCTCCGGAGCCGGACACCGCCGCACCGAGCCCGAGTTAAAAGCAACGACAAATCGAGGACGCGCACAGCCAAGTTGCCGCGTTTTTGTCGGGGTCGCTTTTCGGCTCGGTTTCCATGCTCAAAAAAGAGCCGTCAAAGGGGACAGTGCTCCCATTCCATGTTTGTCAAAAGCTCCGGGATTCGGAACTTTTTTGTTCCAATTTCTCCCATTCCATGACCGTCAAAAGTTCCGGGGTTCTTTTTAGATTTTTTCAAAAGATCCGAGAAAGTTCCGGAAAATGCAAAAGATCCGGAACATTTCGGGAATTTCAAAAGTTCCGCGGCAAATTCAAGAGAATCTCAAAAGTTCCGGAATTCGGTACAAGTTCCGGGAAATGGGAGCACCGAAAGGGGATGAATTGGATCGCATTTAGCAAAAGGGAACTAGCTCGATTACAGTGTTTTCAAAATCGTGCAATTTCTTATTTCCTTTGAAAATACTTAATACATATACAGTAGAAAAATGTGCACAATTGGACGTATTCCTATCAAACGGAACTAAGCGCCATAGGGGGAAGAAGGGAGAGGGGGCTTGGATTGGCGGGTGTTGCGGAACGCGATGCTCATTCGGTTCTGTACTCGCAATGCTTTTCCATGGCATTTAGTTCCGTTTTACAGAACGCGCTATCCGGGATTCTAAAATCCTCAAAAGGAACTCAAACTGGCCCTTAGTTCCGTTTAATAGAAATACGTCCAATTATTTTCCTTCATAATCAACATTTTTTTGGCGGGAATCAAAAACTATTTGCTATGCTTGGAGATTTTTTAGATACTTTGTAGATGCGACATTTTTACAACACTATAATTGCGCTGGTTCCTTTTTGCTTAACTTGTTATAAAGTTTTAAACTATATATTTTTTAGTGTTTACATTGAGGCATTTTTAAGAGATCGGCGAGAAGTTTGAAACATATTTTTCAAATTATCGTGGTCATTGTTTTTCTATCTAGGCGCCCGATGTATGATGGATACAAATAAAATACCGTAAATAACCGTGAACCGGCAACACGGTCAAAGCGAGAGAAAAAACCGAAAGCGAAACGACAGGGTATTTTCTCCGGTCCTCGTTTTCTTTTGCAAGTTGCGCCGTGCTGTCGGGGCCAGGGCAACCCTATTTACAGGAAGTCGGTGGAAGCTAGTTTGGACAGCTCCACACGGCGCGGCGGTGCGCTTCGCCTGTCCGACTTTAATGTATTTCACAAACAAGATCTTGAGTCCTTCCTGCTTTCCTCCCTCTGACCAACCATCCCCTCCGCGCACCCCTTTCCCGACATCAAACCCTTGTCTTCGGCCCTGTTTTTGTTTCTGAGGAGGTCTCGAACGGAGACCGGCCTTTGACGCGGGGAACTTTTGCATCCACACAGGTGCTTCCAGTGGTATCATCAGCTTTGAATTTTGCAACCGACAAAAGAAACAGACAAATGAAATTAGAACACTGGGATCGATTGAATGAAAAAATAAGTGATTTTTCTTAACTCCGCGTGCTCTCTTTATTTTGAGCTCTATCTTAATTTTTTTCGAGAACCGCACAAAACACAAAAGTTGACAGAAATCTTTATGCTGCACTACAAGATCAGCACATAAATATTATTAAATAGATAAGTAGAGGGAATTTATTCAAAACACATTAGTAAGGAGAGAAATAGACGAATATATTTAATATATTATTTATTCATGAAAACTTAAGTACTGTACTAATTAATCAGCATTGAAATATATTTAAAAATTATGACATATTTTTCTTACCCATAATGTTCACCGGAATGTAGCGGTGGCGGCTTTATGAAAAATTTCATTATGATTCCATGTATATTCAATCGTGTTTCTTAGGTATACAGATCATGTATTTTTGCGTTTTTTATTTAACGACTTTCTCGCCGAAAAGTGAATGAAATGAAGAGGAAATCACGCTGTCGGTGATCTTAAGGAAACCAATGGCATGTATGTTGTTTCTAAAAAGGGGCAGAAATAGTAGTTCCTCATTGCAAAATGTAATCCATTCGATCTATGTATAACGATTGAATTTTACTGGGGTTGCGAAACCAGCTTCGAGAATAAGAAGTGAATTTTTTCTGGCCGATGGTAAGGAAAAACGTGGTTTCGTCTCTGGATCACCCAACCCAAAAACCGTCAGGTGTTCGATTTTTGGCACGATCCATTTCATCAAAACATAACAACGGAGACATGCTCGATATAAAGGATTTTTTATATCATTTAATTGCAGGGCAGTGACACCACAAAATTTCAAAAGAGTTGTTTTGTCAGCACGCCTCCCTCTAACCCTATGTTGTCATTTTAGGACGCTACCTTAGTTTTGGCCCTTGCAAACTCATTTAATCTCCTCCTCCTCTCAAAGTAAGCTACGGCATTAGTCGAAAGAAATGACAACGTTGTGGATATTATACTGCAGTTAATTGCATCCGAATGATGCGAAGACCTTTTCATACGTGATTACCTCGGTTCATCCCACAGAAGGAGAACGATTTTTTCCTTCCTTACTCAGCACTTTTTCATTTAACCGACTCAGTTTTGAGTAAGCCTTTCAAACTCCGAACACTCATCACTTCTCAACGACGTCAGATCTCGGCGAAAATTACAAATTACTTAATTAAATGGAAAAAAATACGAATGAAGCCATTTGTATAATCTAACTACCATTTGATATGTGTTTTAAAGGTACTCGTAAATATCTTGTCTACGAGTTTGTTTCCGAACTTCACGTCGTGTGAACAGTTTTTTAAGTAAGATTTTGAAGAGGAAACTTATGACGTTTTCTTTTGGTTCGGTCTTGGTCTGGTCACCATTTTGGATCTATTACTGGCTTAAACATGGGACTGAATGCCAATTTTGGTGAAAAATGTGGATTTTTCGCCAAAACATCCCTTATCGATACCCACTCTTTTCTGCCGATTGCTACTTACCTGCGACATTTATAAACCGACGGTGTAAGTCCGCAATCACATAACTCGTTTGCGGTGTCTGAAAATCTCCGCCTCTATGTTATTTTTTTAAAGGAAAACAAATTGACATAACTCCTCGAAGTTTCCTCGAAGTCACGGCAGTTTCGAAGAATTGCCGTCGAGTAGTTTTCCGTTTAAAAAATGAAGTATGACAGGAAATCTGCGACGTCGCAAATCGAGTTATGTGATTGCCGACTTACACCGTCGAAACGCTCTCTAATTCACTACAACTAACTGATTTTATCCGCCTTTGTCACCAGGTTCAAGAATGTCGAGGCAACATGACACAGAAGGAACGGAGCGGCAGACCAATCGGAAGTAGCGGCCACGCTGCGCAGAAGGATCCTCCACCCCCACCCTCCCCAACCCGGGGGTGGAATGGCCGTCCAGCCCCCTTCGGCTAAAAGTTGCGGGTACAGTGGACGCGGGTGATATATGATGTTGACAAGCGGGGTACTTTTCACCCATGGCAGCCCATTTATTAGCGCGCCACCCACAAAAGCCCGAGCGTCCGACCGGAGTGAGTGAGTATATCAGACCCAGCTCAGGGCCTGTATAAATCATTCTTTTTAACGGCTAAATCTCGCCGGATCTTTTTCCGCGATCGCCCGTCCGCCTGTCGCCGCGAACATGTGTTTGTTCGGATCCCTCCGCTCTTGCGCGCACCTCCGCCGAATCGCACCCTCGGCCCATTAATCCACCCCCGAAATTGTGTTGGATTTGTGGAAATTTGGCAGCTGCGCGCGCGTTTTCCCTCTTCCGTCAATGCGTGATTTGTGGCGATCTGCTTTTCCATTCCCCCGTCGAGACCCGAGAGGTGTCGCGGAATCGTTCCTCGCGGAGTGGTTTAAGTAATTATGACCCGAGGCAGACGGACCCTCGCTGAGGAAAAACGTCGTATGAGCCTGTAGACGTTGCCAAGTTTCCTCCGATAAAAAACGAATTCATTGGGAAAATTGTGAATATTATTTTCCAAAATTTTCTGACAATTTTTGAGCAATTTAATCTAAAATATCTGAAAATTGCAAGGAAAAATATGCATGAATGTGGTCAAAAATTCATGTTTTATCAAGGAAAATTTGGCAACTCTCGAATGTTCATACGGCGTTCTTCCCTATAGCACGGCAGCGTAATGCCTTGCCGAGGAAAAACGTCGTTAGAACATTCCAGAGTTGTCTGATTTCCTCCAATAACATTTCTTTTCTTAAGGAGCGTTATGAATATTTTATCTTGAAATTTGTAGATATAATTTAGAGCTGATCGAGAATAAAATTCTCTGATACTTCTGTGGAAAAACATTCACAGATTGTCCGGTAAATCCGTAATTTATCAAAGGAAATTTGGCGACGTCTGGAGAGGCCTAGATGGCGTTTTTCCTTAACTTGACAGCTCACAAGTTGCAATGGAGTGATCAATGGACCACTTGACAGCGCAGCGTAGGAATGGAAGTACCACAAGCAGTGGCGTAGCTAGAAATTTTTGATGGGAGAGGATGCCACGGTCAGTAATACTTTCTCATGACAAGGAAAGGTCAAAAGTAAGGAAATTCCCGAAATTATGAAAAATGACGTTTTTGGGGAAAATTTTTCAGTCAAGGAGGTCCAGACCTCTTGGAATACCTCCTTGCTATACCACGGATCACAAGACATTTTTCCTCATGGGAAGTCCACGCAGAATACATTGAACCTGTTCAAAAAGTAAACAAAAATAACTCTTGATGGGCACAATTTAACTCGAGGAATTAGACGTATTTATGCTAAAAAAAAAAAACTATGTGCATAGAATTTGCATGTAACATAGTTCCTTTTAGCATAATAAATACGTCCAATTATTGTCTATAGTTTACATTGAAATTAGATACTTCAAGCTATCGCTCGTTAAGAAGAGCTAACATGACCCGAAAGAGCCACCTAAGGAAACAAAAATCGCTTAGATTATTGATAGGGTCGGGTTCCATTATTTTTCCTTCTCTTTCTTAATTACAGTAATTTTTATTTTGTCTGATCAAAAATTTCTGAGAATATTATTCTGTCACCCCACGGTTTTAGATTTTTTCGGCAAGGGGGAAGTACAGGCCATATATTCCTTGCGGCAGTATAAAAATAGGAACAACAAACTTTCGGTGGGGGTTATGAGTAACGAATATTCTTGGGGGGAGATTCCTCAGGCCTCCCTACTTTCTTACGCACATTACTATTGCATTCATAACGTTCCTGTATACATATTGCTAGTTTCTCATCGCAAGTTTAGTTGTTAATTTTTTCTCCCGCGCTGTGTTTGCTTGCGTAAGTGGGTGGAAACTGTAAAAACCAGTGGCTCCTTTCATCGCCGTTTTGTGCGTGTCGAACACTTCACTCCGCGATATTTTCCACCATAATATTAGCCCGAACAGTGCGGGATTCATCGGCTGGAAAACCCGGGCGCCCGGACCGGAGAAACCGGCGCTCAAACCGTGAAAAATGACGGAGGAACTCGTAAATAGAGAAGAAGCCGTGCACCGGTGAAAAATAACTTTGATTCCCTCCTCACATAATGCGCGCGCATTTTTAACGAAGCCTCACGTATGCTCGTGCATGTATAATTCACGGTAAAAAGGTGTAAAACGCTCAGTTGATTCCGCGAGCGCTGAATATTTTATTGGAATTCGACTTTTATAAATGACAGTTTGCGCGGAAACTTATCCGTTTCGCTCCGTTAAGTCGGTTGTCAGTTGCTCAAGAAACTCCCCGCGGTGTTGCCGAACTCGTCGATTTTCCGAGTCGATTCGATGGATAAAATAAGAATTTCGGCGGAGATTTGACAAATTTTACCCCTCGATTGCAGGCGAGCCAGAGTCACTTCTCCGAGACGAGTCCCGACGCTGCAGAAAAATGGACGTATTTCTGTCAAACGGAACTATGTGCACTATGACGTGAGCCCTGTTAAGTATATATTCTTATGGATGTCAGGGCTCATGTCTTAATGCACATAGTTCCGTTTGACAGAAATAAGTCCAAATATTAGTCGCTTCACTCAACCCAAAGAGCTAAACCAACTTACAAATAGGAGCGTCCCTTACAAAATTTTCGCGAGTCGTTGTGCCGGATGTGGTGTAAAATTTCGCGGAAATAAGTGGCACATTGTGGGGCTTCATAGTTGAAAGGGAAGAGGGGCAATGTATGGAGCTTGTTATTGTTATTGTTAGTGAGCATCGACTGGAAAATATTTTCCGCAGCTTAGCAGGTGTGGGCACGATGAAGAATAAAAGAACACTTTAATCACAACTTTCGAGATGCTAATCGGAGACAAATAGATGCTCTTCATTAAGGGTAAAATCGTGCATTTTCAGACGTCAGCGCAGAGAAAAGAAGATGAAATGCTGCAGAAGAGATTTTTCAACTTTGCACGAAAAGTAATCTGCGAGAAATAAGTCCGACCCCTCGGCATCCTAGCTTTTGGACGTATAGGATGTAAATGGCTTGGAAAAGATGACCTCATATTGCACCATGACTTTGTTTTTCATTTTTAAATAGACAGTGTGCGCGAATAATCCTAGACATCGATGTAACCAAATAATTTGTTGCAATATAATACCCAGAGAGAAAAAATGTTGATTTAATATCCTAGATTTCAAATAAGTCATTGGGAACCCTCGAGTTCCGGCATTGACCGTTATTTCTGTTGACGGTACACATTAAGACTGAGAGTGCTGAAGTAATTGCTGTATGCGGTGTATTTAGCAACCCGGAAAGCTTTCGTGCAATTTTTGTTTTTCACATCTAGAACGTTAAGAGAACTTTTGCGTCCTTTTGCGTCAGGTCTGAAAATGTGCGTACACTGTTAAAAATCGAGAAGTAAAATTCGGTGCCGGAGTCTACACTCGCCAGGGCCGGATTTACCTACTTGCCGCCCCCTTCTCATTAGTTTCGGAACATCAATAAAAACCATCAAATGAACGTGCCAGCGGGGGAGGGGTGCATAAGCATAAGACGCGTTTACTCGTGTTGGACACATTTTTTGCGAAAGCCCTGTCAACACTACTAGCAAAAGTTCACGGAACTTTGTGCGAAAGTTAAGTTTCGTAAACCTATCTCTGCGTGTGGACAAGGCCTTCCATTCATAAGAAATGAACGAAAAAATTATGAAAGAACAAACAAAAATGTGGATTAATGATTTTAACTTTCGTTGCCGCGCCGCGCTGACCGCACCGTGTTTGGCGCAATGCGTGAAGTATTCCGACAGTTTTGTAGGCGCTGTGAGTTTCACGCCGACCGCTACTGAATGCACTCTGTGTTTGACGCAATACGTGAAGTATTCACGCAGTATTGTAGGCGCTAACCGTTTTACGCTGACCGCAATGACCGCACTCTGTTTGATGCAATGCGTGAAGTATTCGTGCAGTCTTTTAGGCGCTAATATGTGTTACATGCCGATCGCCGCGCCGAGGGCTTCTCCTTTTCATCTCAAGTCCTCGTCATCATCTCTCTCTAAGTCGCGCCGTTCTGGGCCAAATTGAGTGTTTTAACTATTTGGTTTCTCTCTTAACTTGAATAATTAAAGGTGCTGTCTCTTGCTACTCTGAAAGACGACAAAATTAGAAATTATTATACTCTCAGGAAATGAGAGATTTTGTTGCCTTCTCTCGTTTGTAATTTTTTTTCTGAATCCGATTTTTTTTATACCTACATTTAAAATAATTGCAAAATTTGCCACCCCCTTAATCCGGCCCTGACACTCGCCCAAAAACCCCGCGTGATATGTATGCGAAGTGAAATTAGCACCATAAAAGCGTAGGAGACTCCGCAAAAAGAGTAGACTCCGCTCCGTAATAGTATAAGTCACCCCGTAAGGCGAATAGATTCCGCTCCGCATTCATACCATGCGGGGTTTTTGGTCGCCATATCGACTTCGGTACAGAATTTCACTCCAAAATTTTTAACAGTGTACACCGAAAAAAAAAAATGATGCTGATTTAACATTCTGGATGTAAAAAAGTGTGCGAGAACTCACAAAACGCTGAAATAATCGTAACAGCAGTTTCTTAAGCAATGTCAAGATGTAATAGATTAACTCTGCCGTGCTAAGGAAAAACGCCGTATGAACATTCGAGAGTTGCCAAATTTCCTTCATTAAAATGTTTATTTTTGGAGAAATTTATGAATATTTTTCACTGAAATTTTCAGAGAGTATGGTTGAAATCGAAAGCAAAATTATCCGAAAAATTGGAGGAAAAATAATTATAATTTTACCGGATAAATCGTGTTTTACCAAAAGAAATTTGGCACCGCCTGAAGATTCATACGGCGTTCTTCCTTAGCACGGCAGAACACTGCTGTGGCGGTTAATTCAGCGTTTTTCGAGTTCTCGCACACTTTTTTACACCCAGAATGTCAGATCAGCATCACTTTTTTTTCGGCGAGAAAACTCCTCAACGTTTTGGTATCAATGACTCAATTTTGTGTTTTGGTACATTCAAGTTCTATTTTTCTTTGGCGGTCGCATTTCCTTGAAATTTGTTTCATTTTTATTTCTTTTTCCTCA